AAAAAAAAAAAGATTGCACCCTGTCAAAGGCAGAAAACCTATGAGACCTTTAAAACCAGGCAGTGCCCACTGAGTTCCGGCTCTTACAGGGTTTGGTGTAACGGCAAATGCTGGCATAGGGCTGCCGTGTGCCTGGCACTGTTATAAGCATGTTCATGTGCAGGCTCACTTAATCTTTGCAGTAACCCACAGGCATGTGACGTGTTGTTAGCAGCCACCAGTCAGCCCTGGACTCACAGGGACCCCACCCACCAATGAAGCTGGGTCCTGCAGCGTCACCACAATCGGCTGTGATTCATAGGCTTCTCATTGGTCAGTTCTTGGAAATCAATCCCCAGGCCTTTCTTCCTAGTCTGCCTTAGTGCGGAAACTCCACTGAAACCTGCTGAACATCACAGCCACACGCAGGCCTCCACGGACAGACGGCTGGTGGCTGTGCGTGGGGTACGCCGGGCCGGCATAAGCCAAACCCACTGCCATCAGGTTGATTCTGACACAGCTTCTTGGTGCCTCAGCATTTCACCTACAAAATGGAGGTAATGATGGTACCCACTTCCCTGTGGGGGGGCAGTGGTGGCTCAATGCTACAATCCTCACCTCCTATGCTGGCCGCTGGAGGTCTCATAGCACAGTGGTTACAGCATTGGGCTGCTAACCTAAAGGTTAGCAGTTCAAACCCACCAGCTGCTCCATGGGAGAAAGATGAGGCAGTTTGCTTCGGTAAAGATTTACAGCCGTGGAGACCTTATGGGGTGGTTCTACTCTATCCTGCAGGGTCACTATGCATCAGAATTGACTCGATGGCAGTGGGTTAGTGAAGCTGGAATGAATACGTAACATTCATCAAGTTACAAATTCAAAGGGAGGTGCAGGGTCTTGGAAGGGTGCCCTGTAATAAACAGGGAACTTGAAATTTAAGCTCCATGAAAACCAGTTGCTGTCAAGTCAACTCACGGTGACCTCATGTGTGTCAGACTAGAACTGTCCTCCACGAGCTTTTCGATGGCTGATATTTGGAGAAGGCCTGAAGGTCTTTATTCTGAGGCATCTTTAGGACAGCAGCCAAGCACGTTAACGTTTGCACCACTCAGGGACTCTTAAGCCCCAATAGCATCACAGTAAATCCTTCCAATGTGCCTTTTCCCCAATATTTATTGCAAAATTTTTCAAACAGTGATGTGGAGAGAATTTTCCTGTGAACACCCATATATCCAGGTTCTGAACATTTTCACTGCACTTCCTCTAGCACCCATCTGGTAGCTGCCCATTCTTCCATTACTGCACTTACTGCTTATGCAAGGTCCCTGGGTGATGCAAACAGTTTGTGATTGACTAACCGAAAGGCTGGCAATTCAGAAACCATGCAGAGATGCCACGGAAGAAAGACCTGGTGATTTCTTCCAGGAAGATCACAGCCAATTTCTTATGGGGCAGTTCTACTCTCTAACACGTGGGGGCGCCATAGATTGAAGTAGACTCTACAGCAACAGGTATGGTTCGCTTTTATTTTTATTGTTCTTTGCACTTCAAAGTTGCAGACATCAATGTCTGCCCCCTCCTCCCTTAAACACTTCAGCTTGCAAATCGCGAACTGGAAGTCCGTGTTCCTAACTTCTTCCCACCTGATGTAAAATCCATACAGTGGGACACAATTTAAGTATAATAACAGGCACACATGTATCTTTACTGCCTATTTGCCATTTTTTGCACCCGTGAGAACAGATGTATTTCCTTAGGCAATTAAATGGCAGGGACTTCCTGAGGACACTTCAAAGGTCCAAGCTGTGGAACTTGCCCTTGAATAGCTGTGACTCCACACAGAGATAGGCACGTATTTGATGTATTTGTCGGATGTTCTTATCGCCACCTGGGGGCATTAACAGTTTCCTCCCCTCTTTCCCCAGTTCTTTCAGACTCACTCCCCAGAGTCAATTTACTGGGGTCAGAGGCCTAGGACACACTTAAGGTGCTTTGGCAAACACTGGTTGGTTTCTGTTTGACTTCTGCCTATGGTTCATGTGTCTTCTCCCAAAACACACACACACACACACACAGAGCCATTTTCTTGCCCATAGAAAATTCTGTTTTATTTTTATTTGTGATAGGAGAGGGGAAGGGACAGCAGAAATCGTTCCTTCAAGCTGTAGTGTTCTAGGGAATATGGTGGGGGAAAGGGTGAGACTCTGACCTTAGTCTCACCCATCTTCCATTTCTTTTACAAACTGTGTGCTTTGTTTTTTATAAACATCTTGTACTGGAAAAACCTTCTCTTCCAAAGGCCATAATACAAAATAAAGGTTGGATTAAAAAAAAAAAAAAAAAAAACACCACATACAAAGTCAAAAAATAACAGCTTGAGATAAATGTCTG